GTAAATTACGCACTGCTGGACATTAACACGGTTCTGCTCTTTAGAATGACTGAAGCTGAGCGATTCCCGCCAGAAACTCCCTCCTTAAAACAGCTGCATCGTTTTGCTCAGGGTATTAATTTATACCAGTCCCGGAATAGAGAGCGATGTTTGTATCCGGAACATGGGTAAAAGTACGAATAAAGCGCTCCTTTCCGTAGCATGGCATCTTCACGAAGGGAGTTTCTCATGGGTTTCAGCCTCACGCGATGATGCCACAGGGAGAGGATATTCCTGACACGGATCACAGCATGCAAGAACAAAAAGAGACTGGTAGCTGAATAAACCTATCCATTGATGCCCATTTCTATTCAGCCTCATTATTCCTCTTGCCCCTGGTTCACAATAAACTCCCTTGATCGCAGCTTTTCGTCGTAACCACACGGTGCATAGAGATTTAGCACACCACTGCGTTTAGATTGGTTTTGTACTCCACAACAGGAACGCATCGCCACACCCAGTAAGAGCTCTGGATACAAAGGTAAAAATAGGTTGGCTATCTTCAGAATCCAGCCCTTGAGAAGACCAAAACAAACCTCGATCGGGTTTAGCTGATGGGGAGTATGGCGGGAGGTAGAGTAGACTGGTCCCTGCTTGGTAGATTATCTGAATTATAAATTGTAAATAAAAAGATCGAAAATAAGCATTTGAAACCTACTGCCTCCAATTCGTAATAAATGTAAATATTTTCCGTTGGCCATCACAACAATGGCCCGTACATATTGAATAGCGACACACTATGTTTTACATGCGCTTTGTGGAAGAAATCCCGAGTGTAGACCCCCTCCGTACTGTATACTATATATTCGTAGTCATAGGCGACAACCCACCATCATGATTACCAAGGAGATGTGCTACGTATCAAAGTTTTATTAATCCTTCGCTGCCATGGCAATCACTATTGCTCTCGCTACATTCACTACCAATATCGTCGTCAGAACTCACTTCCCTCTCTGCTAATTTGTACGTCTCTAGCAAGCTAACAATGGTGTCTGTGTCTAGTTCGACAGTCCGCTCTTCAGATAAACCTCGAGTATCCATTAACGTGAGAACCCACAAATTATCGTTGACGATGACAACTTTGACCAGTTGAACATGATCCTCTTTGTCATATCAGGCCTTGAGGGGTCAGTCAAAGAAAACCTCTTTTCTTTGTGCCTGTCGCGCAGCTCAGCAACTTTGAGATCCGTTTCTGGTTGGCCATACTTCTTTCGCGCGCTTAAATTGCTGCATCCAATTGTCCCTTTTCGCTTGATGCTTTTGTTAACCTTGGTTGTATTCCAAAAGCCGTTGCTTCAGTCTATCAATCTGCAGACCTTGCATCACGCGTTTAAAAGGCTTATTCCATGAAATGTCAGCAGGCTGACACACGTAAGTACATTTTGGAGGAACTTTGAGAAGCCCAATATTCGGTGAAGCTGCGTAATCGATCACTTCCTGAGTCCAATTACCACTGAAATCGTCCTAAAGTAAAAGTATCTTGTTATCAAGACATTCACGTCGTGCAAATGAAATTTCAGGAACTTCAGTGATTCCTTTTGTTGCCATATATCTGACACGGAAATTCAAAATAAGGCCGACTAATTTCGCGCCACGTTGGCTATCCAAATTCGGATTTCGTTGTTTTCGACTTGGTTTTTAGGATTTTTCGCTAGGGTTCTTTTGGAAACAATAAAAAGGGTCGTACTTATTGTCACACGAATCGTCAAGTAGCTCGTAGCTCGTAGCTCGTTGCTTCTCTTTGTTTGCACACTTAACCTAAATAGTCTTGCTCCCTTTTGAAGTTGTTGTTTCCTTAGGTACATACTAGAAAAATAAAATGCAGATAATAGAGTTAAGTTAGCCTTTGAATATTATAAAAATGTTGCACTAACTATTCGTACCACTTTGGTCTGCGTTTAATATTTTGGTACAGTTCAGCTCCACAACGATTTGTAGTACCAAGGCGCGCAAGTTTCGAGCCGATACTGCAGCATCTTGTGGTGTTGTTTGCCCTTGGCGAGTCCTAGTACGCAGCGACAGCTTATGTCTTCTCACGAATATCTTTATCCATGTTGCAGACGCTAAAAAATTGTCCGCGGGGGAACAGTATTCTGGTGATACTTGTTTGGCTTCCGTTTCTAGTATGAAGCGCGAAACGGGAACACCTTTATCCCTGCGTCCGCCGATTCATTGCACGATTTCGGCTTCTGCTTTCTGGAATAGCAAATGTGGCGTCTCCCAAACTGCGCAACTTGTGACGGCCTGCTCGACCTGATTCGCACGCTATTTGTTTGTCGTCTTCACCGCTTTCCGCCACTTACAGATTAGTTTTTCCTTCGCTCTATGATCTTTCCTGGGCAGAACACCACAAAAGTGCTTAATGCACTCTTTTACATTGTGAGCTTTGTCGTGGTAGTCCAGATAGCATTTTTTGTCGCCATACGCGACCAACATGCGCTTGTATTGCTTGCGACGCCTGCCACTCCCTGTGACACAAGTTCTTCCCATACTATTAATCTTGAAGGCCGGCTTTTGAAGGCACTGACAACCAAGGCTCTGGAGATTGACGTGGACGAGTGCTTTAATAGTTCCGTGCGATAGGTTACCGTCACAGAATATGCTGGACTGATGATTAAAACTAGCGGACACCATATGGGCAACTTTTGGTGCTCCTATTGGCTAGTATTCACTGTCGTCAAAGCGTAAACGACACGAATATTGGGTAGTCCCAAGCGACAGAGTCACTATGGCTGGGATATAATATATCATAGCTTGTTATGCTACAACCTTTTACCGCGACTAAAAGGAAGTCTTACCGCAGCATTTGTGTTCTTTTGTTACCAAGCAAAGCGTCGGTATTAAGTGTCGCCATCATCGACACGAACATTGCACGATGCGAGAACGGACATTTTCCTTGCATCCATGTACTGAGTAAAATATAAACAACCAGAATGTTGAAGTCATTGAGCTAATTCAGTAACACGAGTATCTAAGAACATGTAGTCGCTATCACAATGGAAACCCAACAACTACGCGTCTGGGGTTCATTGGCGACTATGGTCTTCTTCAATCTATATTTCATGCGCCAAGCTCCCCTCAATATAATCTGCCTACCTCATTAAGGTCGTAGGCACGCAGACACTCCCATGAAAGTCACAGCTGTCATAGACATTTGTGTAAGCTGTCTTGCGTCATACCTTGCCAAGGACTACGCCTACACAACATCCCGACACTGTCATCGCGATTGCGTCGCTCTTGGCATCTGCGTCACCACGTCCTATAATAAGTACCGCATGCTGGGTATGCTGCACACGCCAAGGCCTGCACAGCCATCACCAGCTTCACGTTTGGGAACGTCGCAGTGCCACGTAGATTGCGATCACAACCAAGGTCACCGTCATGTACCCTGGGCACGTGGCGCAGTTGATCGACGTTTCTTCGTGCTCACCTAATACCCATTAGTCGATTTGATGTGAGCCTTTTCGTGCACATATAATCCTCTCTGTAACGGTATCCACTTAGTAATACTCCCTACCGGTAAATAAACAGGGTTAGAAATGTCTCCCAGTGACCATTAGCATATAAAATCAAGTCAAACTTACGTCTATCCTCTACTTACATAATTTAGAAATATTGCTATTTAGCGTTTATTAGCTATGGACATTATTATTTTTGCTCAAGTCTATTAAAATACACAAGCAATGACATTTGCTGTTTGCGTATAAGCATTTTGCATTGCTCGAAGCCCACGTACGGCACTTGACGGAATTCCTATCGCATGAGCGTGGATGAATTGCTGTGCCATCCACTTTTGCTAGCGTTCAGCTTTGCCGGGGGTCGCTTCACCGTCCACCGCGCGTCCATCCTCGTTCGTTTGTGGGTCGCTTGACTTGGGTAATGAGTTTGTATTGACCGAGCAATGCAGTGTGAAATATGAAAATGCGATTACGGCTCTGTGAACCACCAGAGCTTAAAATCGATACACATTTGGATAGTGATAATTCTAGATAGCGATAAAAAGTGGTATCCCGGTGCGATCAGTAAGGAGATGATCATCTGTAGATCGATCTCAAATCGAGTATCTGTTGAAGAGAAAAAGACAAAAACCTTGCAAAGCACAATAATACTTACTCCATAGTTGTACCGATAGTTCGAATTGTGCAGCGATCAAAACGGGCACACACTTCATGACCGGGAAAGCTGTAAAGCTACTCGAAAAGTCGTAATGATAGAGCACTTTGATGATGAACCTGTAATGAATTAAGCAGGGGTTTTCTTAATTCATAGTAATCAGTGAAGTAGCGCTAGACTCTCACAAAATTATTATTAGTTTATAAGGGTGCTCTACCTAGAATATGGTACACTGGACGTCAGGCACAAAATTGATGGGAAACTCTTTAGTTGCACAGCTTCCAAGTCAGAAGCTTTAACATGGACCCTACTGCGCAAGCTGGATGAGCGGTATATATCGGATCACTCTTACGGTTCACTTCGTGATCACGTAGCTTGATGCAATGATCGATTCCAAGTGACATAAAGCCTCCAGTCTGCCCAGATCACTGCAAGCATCCAGGTGCTTGCCTTCAATTGGAGTGCAGACTCTGGTATCATACCCGGGACAAAATCTTGCTTGCTCACATGCGGCCCGGAGGCACTGCGTCTGTTTACCTAGGTACAGTCAAATGCCAGTGAAGAAGCATTAAAACCGTGAGTAATTCGTGACGGGGACTTTGTGAAGGCTCATAAATTTTCCGTTGTCGAAGAGAGCAATGGCTAGGAGTCGAGTTCGGTTTTGATTCCAGTGACGAAAAGTACATGTACGCGAGTACATAGTTGCAGATAATACTTGAAAGATGAGACGGATGATTTTCGGGGCGTAAACCTTCGAATCCGTTCTTCTTAACGGAGACGACTGCAATAATCATAAAAAAAAATGGCCGATTACTTATTACATCAGTTTTCATTCTTGTTCGTGTTTATCATGCGGTGCTGTGATGGTGTCTTCGAAGCAGGGTTGCAAACAAACGGCGCAAGACATCTAAACCTTTACCTGTCAGTCGCCCAAGCCATTTTACGGGCTTAGCCACAGGCCTTCCAATGGCTGCTAGAAACTGGAAAAATAGACCATGAGTCACCTGGGCAAACTGCGGGGTTACGGCTCTCTCCTCGTTATCCACCCTCGACTTGGTTACTTTGCTGTCTCTGAGGTAGCGGTGCTCCTCGAGGACACGTCCATTGTCGGCGGTAGTCATCAGGTCGTTCCTCTCGCCGAACGCCGAAGTAGACGCAATTGCTAGCAGTGCTACGTGTAGAAATATCAGCAGCATGGCTCGAACTCCGCGCATGGTTCGTTTGTTTTCCTGAGGCGTAAGTGCCTTAAAAACGTTTTGCGCGTGAAGGCCGATTCCAGAATGAGGTGCTGCTTTTTAATCATACCACTGGTATTATTACCGGTATAATAATACCAGCCATTCCCTGGTATTAATTCATGAAACTGTACTGTCCACTGTACAGTGCACACTGTGCACTGCACAGTACATCTCCGACACAATCCTGATCAGACGAGCATGTAGAGACGGTACAGATCAATTAATTTAGGGTTATAGTACTCGTCAATGAACGTTGGACCAGATTATTTTAACATGCCATTTGAAAAGGCGAAACTTCTCGAGCTGGCACCAAAATAGAACAAGGAGCCTACGTAAATGTTCCTTAGCATCTCGTGCATCTTGTGAGCTATTTGCGTCCTTACTAACATGTCTGAGCCAAGCACCTCGCAGCAAGAGCTGGCACCAGGCCAGAAGGATTACGTAGTACGGTGCTTAGACTTCATGTTCAAAGCTAAGGAAGATGGCCTCTTCAGAGGGCAGCGAACCCGGGACCTGGTTGCTGAGTGTCTACAGATAGCACACGGCACTGTTACGACTGTGACGCACCTACAGAGCCGACAATGAGACCAAGTTTGAGGTGCACATCAGCCATTTAGCTGTGCATGTTCCTTATCAGCTCTTTAACGTTAACCTCTATTATTGTATATGTGAAGGAAGGAAGCGTGATTACGACCCAGCAGAGCGAAGAATAAGGTGCCTGTTCAACTACAGTTGTTTTTCCTTGCACTCAAATCGCTACAATCATGATCGGATTTGCTGCTGTTCAGCTGCGTACTTTCTTGTACTTTCTTGCGCAAATACATGTGGTTTAGGGAATTGCCAAGTCAAATGGCCTCAAAGGCAACCCGTTTCCCGTAAATCTGGGGCATCTGGAAAGAGTTAAAAAATAGTCTTGAAGCGCAAAAACGACTACGAATCAGCTAATTCTGACCACATTTTTAAAATCTACGCCCGATTTTACTCCTTATATCTAACTGTTGCTATAGGATTTGGGTTGCTGAAATGTCATAACAGATGGCTACATTTTTGCTGTTACTGTACGTGTACATGTACCAAGCTGGTTGGTCGTTTTCCCAGTACCCTGTAGTAAATCAATTGTGCCGAGTATTCCTCTTGTGCCGAGTGTTCCTCTTTCGATACTTATTGATACACATGCGAGCTCGAGCTTACAAATACGGAAGCTTACCCACGCAGAGGTGGAGAGGGTAGGGGATTGCTGTGATGATGGCTTTCTGCTTTTAATAAAATACATGCTGATGATCAGGCAGAATCATTCTTACAAATCGGATCAAAAAATTTATCAATATGTTTTTTTTAATTAGAACTGTAAATCTATGTTGAGTAGACTGTGGTCTGTAGAAAGATGGTACACAACATATTTAGTAGTACTAAACTACATGTAGTATACATGTATGTAGTACTGTAAGTAATGTCGTATAGTAAGGAGACTGAGCGCGTTGTTCACATTTCAGCTACACGTTCAGGGCCGTTCTTAAGTGCGATTGAACGGTTGTATTGCAGTGTAAATACAACAAGCATTGATTACTGACTTGTGCACAGTTTAAACGAAGATGATACGATGTATAAGTGCAACAAGTTGTAGGCTAATACGACCCGCCCAAAGTGCTGAAGGGTACGGTTAAACGCAAATCACATAGCTTCCCCCCGGGAGACGATAATCAAAGAACCCCAAACTTATTCACAGTGTGAATCACAGATCGCCCTTACTAGACTCCATATGGTTTTTGCGATCAGCCCCATTGATCTAAAGATTTGCAGTCTTTATGAATAGCTTGAGTTCAATAAGGCGATCTGTGACGGCGTATCCACGTACTGTAAAGTCCAAGAGCAGACAAGAAAACGACACCTGCAAGCACATCAAAATGACCACCAGCAAACACTTTATACTACAGTAGGATATAGACTAGTTTGAAGTAGCAGTAGGTGCAAGCGCTTATAAATTGAAAAAGGGAGTGAGTGCTGCACCCACCTCGTGCACATGGGACAGTGCTAGAGGGCTTGAGATTCGCATCCGGCTTGCGGGTATACCTCGTGTAGCGTATACTTCCCCCCACTCATTTTTGCAGCGGGGGCAAATCAGCAGCAGCCAGGAAGCCATGGCGCCCGACCTGCGCGTCAAAGCGGCGGTGCGACCGCCGCGCCACGGAGGAGGGGCGAGTGATAGTGAAGAGGGGGTCGACAGCGACGAGGAGTGGTTCGACTCGTCAGCGGAGTCGTCGGGTACCGGCAGCTCCACGTCCAAGCAGCGTCGATCGGATGTTTCCGACAGTCCCCAGACAATCCAGAGTGGTGAGCAGCCAGTGGTTATAGCTCCGCCACTCGAGAAGAAAGAGTTTAATTCCTGGGGCGCCTTAGACGCGTATCTAAAAGTCTATTCAGCCGACACATACCAGGTAACGTTTGATGCACTGCATATGGTAGCAGGAGCCTTATCGCATTATCTAACTGGTTTGTGCGTACAATTGCTGCGTACAGAGCTTCCGCGTTCGCACTAACAACAAGGTCGTGACGAGAAATAAGAAGATTCGAGACTGCGGGTCTACGAAGCCGCTTGTGCCCGAGGGGTGGACTCATTATTCGAAGACTTTCGTCTGCACCCACACAGGGAAGTACAAGCCGCGTGGACAAGGCAAGAGAAAGCGGCAAGAGTCGAGAGCTCTCGAGTGTGACGCGCAGGTGTGTGACGCTCAGTCGGGCTCAGTCGGGCTCAGCTGGGCTCAGTCGGGCTCAGTTGTGCTCAGTTGGGTTCGGATGGACTGAAATGGATTTTAATGGTGCTGTTGGTTGGCCATGCATGTGCTCATGTACAATTGTATCGCTACGTAGATCAATGCCTGCGTACAAGTGACCGACTCGGCTGCAGCAGTTCCCACTTTCTTGCTGCGAATTACTGTTGCCCGTTTGGAGCATAACCATCCGCTCTCCAGACATAATTTCGACCATTATCCACACAACCGGACAGCTATTGAGTCTGAGCTGGCCGGGACTGTTAGCGAGCTTGTCAAAGCCGGAGCCAAGAAGAAACGCATCCTGCAGTTCATCAACGAGAATTCTAGCTGCTACCCAACGAGCCAGGACGTACACAACCTGGTGCGCAAGCTGAAGAAACAGACCCATACAGCTCAGACATCTGCAAAACGATTGAAGCAATGGATGACTGAGTTCACGCAAGAGCTAGGGAATGTTGGAGGCATTTTTGTCGACTCAATCCATGATAAGGTATGAACACTATTGCTGTTACTGTGTAGCCGTCGTTTGTTTAACTTTCTATGCTGATATTAGACTGTAGCTACATGTATAACACTGCAGACAAAGCATATGCGGGAGCTCTTCGACCATTTCCCAGAGGTCGTGATGATCGACGCCACGCACGGTACAAACTTGTCAAAGTACAAGGTTTTCTCGATTATGGCACACGACGCATTTGGGAAGGGCCAGTTCGTACAGCATGCTGTTCTCCAGAACGAGCGTAACCCAACGCTTCTGACGGCCCTGGAGCAGTTCAAGCGCTACAATCCGGCGTGGACGCGCATCAAATGCATACTGATCGACAAAGATTTCGGCGAGATCGGAGTGTTGAAGAAAACGTTTCCGGACGCGTCGTCGCTGTTGTGCCAGTTTCACGTGTTGAAATATCTGCGAGAGCAGATAGCATCAAAAGACTATGGGTTCAATGCTTGGCAGAAGCAGCAACTGAACGGATTGATCAACTTGCTGGCTTACGCAAAAACGGAGCGACAATACTTGCGCTTGCGCGAGTATATGCGCCATATTATCGATGTAGGGACTGGAAGAGTACCATCTGAGAAAGCTAGGTCTGGGGATGTTGTGTTGGGCACTGGTCAGACGGAGATGGGCACGGATGGTGTCCAATTGGGCATCAGTCGGGCGGAGTTGGGCGCGGATGGCGAACCGCGTGAAGTGTGCAAGCACCCTTTTGAAGCGTATTTCGTGAAAAACTGGGATAACTGTCGTCAAATGTGGTGCGCGTTTGAAAGGCAGAATGCTTGCACCCTCGGCAACAATACAAATAACCGCCTTGAAGCTTCGTGGAAGCAGCTGAAGGAGCTTGTGGACTCCTTTATGCAAGTGGACGAGTGCATTGTTTCGATAATGGTTTATCAAGCTCAGGCGGAGAGAAAATTTAAGGACGCGGTCTACAAACTATCTGTCGTGCATCATCCGAAGTACCATCACGAGATAGATTTTCTCTCGAAGCTGGTAAGCGAGCACACGTGCGAGCTTGTGTACGAGCAATACAACTTCGCGATCACCACGGCGGAGTATAATTTTCACGAGGCAGTCCCCGGAGTATACTTTATCCAGTGCGATGCGGACGATGAAGAGGCATTGAATGAACCGCATAGCGAGTACTCCGTCACGAAAACGGATTGGTCCTGCTCGTGTTTGCTCATGGCTTCACGTTTGCTGCCGTGTCGCCACGTGCTCTTCATTCGGAAGGCACTCAACTTCGAGAACGTGATTCCTACCAGCTTCTGGATTCTCGTTGGTTACTGTCGTCGCTTCGGGTGGAATACGAGTTGCCCCAACTGTCAGAAGAACCGTTTCGTGTGTCCAGAGTGTTGAAGGAGGCCAATATGTGCTTGGATTCCAACCGGAAGTTCCGCGAAGTAAATTTTGTGGCAACTGCAATTAGTGAGCACTTGAGTGGATTGGGGATGGTGGAGTACCGAGCGGCAACGAAGGCTTTGCGAGATGTTGCCACCCTTTTCAAGCATGGCGAGTACAGTACCATCCCCAAGGTAGCTGGTGGTCTTGAACTCGAAGACGGCTTGGGTGATGCAGAAATGGACACGACTGGTGGCGCGACTGGTGGCGTCAGTCACCAGACTAGAGACAGCGAAGTAGTGAGAGAGGCGATGGGAGTGGTGCAAGTTATCACGTCTAGACAAGAGGATACTATGAGCCAAAGTGTGGCGTCTGCTTCTTACGTGGAGAGCACTCAAGTATGCCCAGACCAGTCCGGCTCAGTTGGGAGCGAGACGGGCACAGATGGAGGTGAGGTGGTTTCATTTGGGAGCGAGACGGGCGCAACGGGTGGTGAGCTGGTCTCAGATGAGAACGAGACGGGCACACATGGTGACGAGTTGGTTTAAGTTGGGAACGAGACGAGCGCAGCTGGTGGGGAGTTGGAGGTGGAGACATCTCACGAAAATGACTACCATAGCGCTATGCTTGCTTCAGCAAAGTTAACCGATGATTTTCAGATCGTGAGTCCCCCAAAATCCAAGGGACGTCCAAAACAAAAGCCACGGGCTGTTACAGCAAAGCGGAGTCAAGCGATAGTAATGGTAGAGGAAGACTTGGAAATGCACGAACGCCAAATGAGTCTACTGACAGTTTATGAACTACTGGACGGCGATCCCATTTACAAGTTGACACACGAGAAGCTGCTGCAGTTCAAGGAGTTCCTGTTCGCCACGAAGCCGAAGCCTCCCATCGCCCACGAGATAGCGAAGCTCCCCCCCCACAAAACCACTGATGCGACCAGAAGAAGTGATGCGAATCTTCCCCATCCAATTAATTAACAAATGTACCTCCAAGGTCACAGCCTACCAAGCAAAAAACCGGGGAACGTTGGAAATGCAGCTGGCGCTGGAGATTGTTGGCGTTGGAGTGTTCGCGAACTCTACGGTTTCGCTCATGAGAAAGTGGCACACCGCAGTAAAATTCGTCAAGAAAATCAAAAGAGCTATAACCTGGATCGATCGATTAGACTTCGCGCAACACGGGAATTCTAGCTTCTACGTCGAGGAGGACACCACTATACCTAAGCTGTTGAAAGATTTGCCAATTCTGTCGAACGAGTATGCAGACTTGGTGGACCTGGCTTCGAAGGACACCCTTACCGCCCAAGTCATGCAGATGATTCTACACAAACTGTTTGGTGCGGATCCTAGTGTTCTAGTGATCGACCCGTCTAACATGGGGATTTCAAATGGAGCTTTAACGACAGGCATCAGGTATTTTAAACTGGCGTTGGCTGGAGTCACGAAGAAGATGAAAGTGCTTGTTTCCAAATCAACTGCAACAAACAAACCACTGTGCGCTGTGCTAATGGATTTGGAGAAGGGCAGAGTGTACGTCTACGACTCGATGGCGTCCTCCCTACATGATCGGTGGCACAGAAGATGATCATGATACTGCCAGACGGAGTCAGACCTAGTGCTCGCTTGGTGACTCACGACCCTGGACTTGGCGTTCAGTGCGACAGCTATAATTGCGGTGTGTATGTCTTGCTGGTATTTGAGATGTTCTGTGGGTCAGAGCCGCTCGGCCACCTCGACAAAAAGACTCTGCAATGCATGCGCTACCGCTACTTGCGCATGTGTATAGAAGAACAAGGAAGTAGCAGTAGCTAAGTCACGGAACTCGTTGCATCGAACTATGTTTGTCGAGTTATATGTTTGATAATGTCTTTAGTAATTGAAGGGGATAACCTGCTCAGCAGAACGCTTCTATCTCTGCGGACTCTGGTACTGTCACTGAACTCGTTGCATCGAGCTGTGTTTGTTGAGTTATATGCTTGACAATGTCTTATGTAATTGAAGGGGATCACCTGCTCAGCAGAATGCTTCTATCTCTGCGGACTCTGGTACTGCTGATGTCGATCCACTCCGGCTCTTTGGCATCTTTCGGATATACGTGTATAGTGTATAAGTTTTAGGCCGGCTCTTTCGATTTGGGTGCTGTAGTGGGCACAGGATGGGTCACAACTGGGTACGGGTGGGTGCTGGTTTGGTGTCGTAATTCTGTCTTGTCCCGTCCCATGTGCACGAGGTGGGTACACGAGTGCCATTGAAAAATCACTCATAAGTGATGCAGAATCTAACAGATTATATCCTTCTATGGATCTTCAATGGTAACCACAATGCCCAACGTAGTCGCCAAAATCATTGTCGCCAGCTACTTATCCCTATCACTTGCTACTTCGAGTACAATGTTGACGCAGTAAGGACCGCGACACTGTGATTGGCAGTGTAGACTGCGATGGCAAGATATTTTGCAGCTTTTATTGGCACTCCTTCGCCTGAACAACGAGACTCTTTAGCCAGGACGCTTGAAAAGTACCAAAGACACCAGTCAACATGTGCAAAGCAATACAACCTATCTTTCAAGGAGATCCCATGTAGTTGTTTGCAGCTTTAGCGACTCGATAAAGCCGATGATGGTCGAGTATTTGTGGCGTATTTGCTTTGATGAGCTACGAGTAGAGCTTACAGCGTTTGCAAGTGAGTCGAAAGCTTCGTTCGCACTTTTTCTACTTTACACAAATGTCTAATTTACAGCAGGTTGTACATGTACGAGAGGCAGACACCGAGCTTGAAGTCGCACTCCAAGAAGTACTATTTTTTCAATATTGCGTTAAGACAGGTACAAACTGCTCGCGAACACGACATCTCGCTTGATGGCTTCGGAGGCGACTTCCATCTTGCGATAGAGCTGCGGGTCTCCGATGACTCGTGCGGCGTTGCGCACTTCACGACAAACCTCGTCCAGACGCGTGATACAGCGCACGATGGAGCCTTCCTGCACGTCTGTGAGCTCGCACAGCTGCTTGAAGGGCATGCCTCGAGCCCACTCGTACACCACCTCCATCAATCCAAAGTTGAGCGCTCCTTTGCAGTAGACGGCAGGGTCGATCTCAAGACGCTGCTCCAACTGGATGAGGCCCAGCGACTCGGCGATGTTCTTGACCACCTCGCGCGTGGTCTCCAACGTGGGCGTGAGTGTTGGCTCGGACTGGGACTTTTCCTGGAAGATGAGAGCCGACAGCACCGCCACGATCTCCTCCGGCTCGAGCGTCGCCAACACGTTCTCGAAGATCATCTCGGTCAGCACCAGCTCCTCGCACGTGTTGATCTCACACGCCACTCGTCCTTTCACTTGCACGACGCCGTCGTCCGAGATGTAGCCAAGTCGTTTCAACACACTCAGACGTTGCTGGAAGTCTGGAAAGAGCGACAGCGAATCGTTCGACAGCTGTCGAGTCATACGCACCAGATAGGCCTGGAGTTTGAACATCTTGTCCACTTTCTTCATCACACGAGACACGGACGGGGAGTCGGTAGCGCACGGATGACTCACAACCAGCGAGTAGAGCTGCTGCCATTGCGTGTAGCCCGTGGCGACTTCTAGGTCGTTCACCTTGAGCTCTCTCATCAAGTCGACGTACGGGATCGCTGCCTTCTGCGTCGCTGCTGCGTCCTTGTCGAGTTGCGTGAGGAACTCGATGCTACTAGCGAGTTCCTTCTTGGACGAGGAAGCCACCAGCGTCTTGGTGTTGATACTGGAAGCTACAAGCGACGTCACACTCTCCACGCAGCTCTCGGGCACCTCCAGAACAGCATACTTCCTGCCCAGCAGCGTCCCAGTCGACGGTGCAGTGAGCTCGGCACTCTCCTGACTGTCCGCTGTGTCCTTCTTCCCCATGCGTCCAAACATACGATCGTCGTCGTCTTTCTTGCTACGAAGCATCCGTCCACCCGTCAAAGCGTGGAGATTCTTCTTCTTGGTCTCGGACGGTATCTCCACTTTCGGAGGCTCGTAGTCGTCGGAGCACAGAGTGACGACCATGATCGACTTGAAGACTCGTCTCTGCGCTGCATCCCTCGTCCCTGAGCTCGGCAGTTCCGTCTCAAACGCCAGCTTGGATCTTGCAGTGCCCTCGCCCACCACGGCTGCAGTTGTCCGCACCACAAGCGCCAAGTGGTCCGATGAAAGCCCCTTGACGTTGACAAGTACGACACGTCCAGGAGCAATCGCGTTCTTGGCCGCTTGGAGGTTGTTCGCCAGTAGCCACTTCGTCAGCTTCTTCTCCAGCTCTCGCTTGTCCCGTTTGAGTTGGTAGAACGCCTGCATCTGAGCCAACTCGCCACTAGCTTCGAGATGCGGGTAGTCTTCTACAAGTGACCGCTCCAGCTGCTGCAACAACGTCTTGCCCTTATGAATCAACTGTGGGAGGTTCTTCGAAGCGAGGGCTTTCTGCGTGTGGAACTCGGAGAACGAGCGCTTCATCATGTCTTCAACTGTCAGCACTTCCACGCGCAGGAGGTTCAACATCATATTGTACGTCAAGCGGAACTGACTCGAGAGCGACGTGGCCTTTCCTGCCAGCATCGTTCTCAGCGACGTGGCCTCCGGGACGTCGTTCCAGCACGCGATGATCACGGTACCAACCGAGTCCAGCCCACGACGACCAGCACGTCCAGCCATCTGCGTGTACTCGCCTGGGACAAGATCACGGAAGTTCTTGCCGTCGTGCTTGCGAATGCCGTTGAAGACGACTGTACGCGCAGGCATGTTGACACCCATCGCGAACGTCTCGGTCGAGAAGAGAACCTTGACGAGACCGCGACCAAACAAGATCTCGACCATCTCCTTGATGATCGGGAGTAAGCCACCGTGGTGGACGCCAATACCGCGTTTCAGCATCTCCTTCATGGTCAACACTTGCGGTAACTCACGGTCGGATCCCTGTAAGCGCTGGACGCTCGTCTCCAGGAAGAGGTGAATCTCTGACCGCTCGGATGGAGTACTCAGGTCAAGCTTGGCTAACTTACTAGCGCTCTCCTCGCACAGACGCTTACTGAAGGCAAAGACCACCACTGGCAGCAACGCCTTGTCCTTTAGAGTGTTGATCAACTTGGTCCACTCGCCCTGGTCACCTCCTGATGTGCGGATACTACGGACATTGGCACTACTGCCGCCACCACGAGCGACGGCCCCGCCACCTCGACCAGCCTTTGACTTGTCTGACATCGGGAAGAGCTTGCTCTTAGCTGCACCATGAGCATTTGGCAGATATCCAGAGGTAGCGTCGTATATCTTGAAGAGCTCTTTACCAGCATACAGGAAGTGTTGGAGAGGGACAGGCCGCTTGTAAGTGGAGATCACATGGATCTTCTGCTTCTTTGTACGCCCAATCCAGTCCGAGAACTCCAAATGATTCGGCGTCGTCGCTGAGAGGAAAACCATCCCGATATGTTCAGGCAGCATGATGATCACTTCCTCCCATACGACACCACGTTCACTGTCGTTGATGTAGTGGATCTCGTCAAAGATCACCCACTCGATATCCCGAATAATGTCAGCGCCGCGATACAGCATCGAGCGCAAGATTTCCGTCGTCATAACGAGACAACTCGCGTCCGGATTGATACTGACGTCACCGGTAATAAGTCCGACATTATCGGGTCCAAACTTGGAGCGGAAGTCGCGGTACTTCTGATTGGACAGGGCCTTAATAGGCGACGTGTAGATGGTGCGCGTCATGTGCCTTTGGGACATTGCGATGGCGTATTCTGCGATCACAGTCTTGCCTGCAGACGTGTGCGCAGCCACGAAAACACACTCGTGGCGTTCCAGATGAATGACGCACTCTTTCTGGAACACATCCAGCTCGAACTCGTACTTCATGGCCATCTCAGGGACCTTCTCGTGGAAGTTCCGCACGTCAACACTCGCCATACTGGCCCACTCGGACGTGGGGCTAGTTCTCTTCTGTAATGTCAGTGTACTCGACTCTGAAGCAGCGTCCAGAATCGTCTCCAATGCCGTCTCCGGGTCTTCAATGCTATCATCGTCAGTAGACGATTCTACCTCACCAGACGCCGCCTTGACGCTCTTATCAGCTGTTCCCACTGCCTCAATATCTTCAGTATGTGCCTGAGTGCTGCCATCTTCCTCCTCGGCGTCCTCAACTGAGAATCCTAGCTCCATGAGCTCTCCGTCGTCCTCCATCTCGCGTAACAATTGGTCCAGTCCGACTGTCGTGTTGTCATCGTTCTGCCGCATAGCATTGGCGGCTTTCTCGTCCAGTACAGCACTACGGATGGCTGCCACGTGATCTGGATCCGCCACCGCTTCAAAGTACGGTTTTAGCAGGTTTTTCGGGTTCTCTCCGACGTTTTCCACCTCGGTGACTTGCTCCACCTCCTTTGTCTCCCTGTTCTTAACATCTTCAGCAGTTAAGCAGCCGTTAATCCCTGGCACATCAAACACCAGACTCTCTAGCAACGTTTCGTCGACATCTTGGCCTTCTCCTAGCACCAATAGGTTCCGCTTCTGCTCCTCTTCCTTCAGTAGCAGCTTCTGCATGGGACTCAGCTCTTGTTCGAGCTTCTCCGTCTCTAATTCCGCCAGTGAGTCTCCTCCAGGGGAGAAGGGCTTGTTACTCATCTTCCCACGAGCGTATTCGTCCTGTTTGGTTAGTGCACTGCTGAATCCCGCGTCAGCTCCTGTCCTAGAGACGTCCACAGCTCGGAACTCGTACTGGATCTTCAATGGGTCTCTCACTATAGAATTCCGCTTTGGAACGAGCTCCTGGCGAGGCGCAGACATGGGCATTTGAGCCAGAAGACGGCTTTGAGCGACCGTAACCTTGGAGTTACCATCGGGGTTACTGTCCTTCCATCCACGAGGAAATGGCCCCAGGCGCTCTAATGCGAACAATGGATGCGCTACTGCTGCCAACTCTTCCTTCACCATTGATCTGCCCCCATATTGAGATGTTAGACGCACAGGGGGCAGCGCAAACGGAGATGTAGGAGGAGGAGGCCGGATAGACTTGTGGGGTACAATCACCACCGCCTCGGGGGCTAAGGAAGAAGCGGAGAGCACTGAGAATTGGTCCAGCACTGTATTAGATGAAGGAGTAAAGGATGGTACTGTATGGGGCGCCAAAGCATCCTCGTTCAGCCGTGAGAGCTCTGCTAAGACGCGCTCCACGGTCACCATCTTGCCATCCATGGGCGTCGTATCCTGAAATGGGTTACAAAAGTTATGTAACTTTTTACATTTTCTGGGCAACAACTTCACTGTCGAATATCGCGAACGAGAGGGAGATTCGAATGACGGCGGCGGATGAAGCAGATGAGCTGGCGTTACGCTGCTGCGTGTGCGGCACGTCGGCCGAAGATGACAGCAATTACCTCAACACCAAGATGAAGATGCTCATCTCCAAGTGTGGCCACCGATTGTATGTGCTCTCATTCTCCATCTGACGCTCTTGTCCTGAGTGTAACCCTTTTGTGTACCCCTCCAGCTGCGACCACTGTATCAAGCGCGAGTTCCAGCACCAGCGCGAAATCTCGTGTCCCGCATGTCAGAAGCCTGTCAAGAAGTCGCAGCTGCAGGACAAGACGATTGAAGAGCTCAACTTCGCTAAGGAGACGTCGGTGCGCAAGAAAGTTACCAAGGAGTAAGGACGCGGTTATTATAACTTTTGAGGGGTGATGGCTAATGCTCCTTATGTTGCTCGTAGTTATAACAAGACAGAGGACGATTTTGACACGCTGGAGGAGTACAATGACTATCTAGAAACGTTAGAGAACCTCAGTACGTGAGCTGCTGCATCTGCAGTATCATACAATTAATCTAACATTATTTTTAATTGCAGTCTTTGACTTGGTGTATGGTGACGACGCCGAGAAGGCAGCGGCCCAGAAGCAATGGAAGCAATATCGACAGGAACACGCCATTGCCATCGCTACTAATGACGCCAAGAAGGCCGACGAGGAGCGGCGTATCGCGCAGCTAATTGCCGAACAACAGAGACTGGCAGAAGAGCGACGACAGCTGCAGCAAAAAGAGGATTCTCAGTTTGAGGCCGATCTGGAGCGTCAGAAGGCGCAGCTGATGGAGGTGGCGCTGGGAGAACGTGACGAGAGCGACGTGTCCAAGCTGCGGGCCACTACCACGGCAATTCCGATCGACCAGGCCGTCACGGCAGAGATGGAGGCCGCAATGATGGGGTTCCAGCCTGGAGTTATTGGCGGACCGCAGCCAGTTCCCGTTCCAGGAGGCAAACGCGGACCAAACTTTGGCGTCAACGAGTCCAAGAAGCTGCGTCGTCAGCAGCAACTCGCAGGCGGGTACGATCCGGACTTACACTTCAAGCGCAACCGTACGGAGGCCTGGTGTGGCATCTACTTCCACCCCCTTGATAGAAAAATCGAGAGCAATTGCCCAACCCCGATGGAAATCTGCTAGAGCAACAGGAAAGTGCAGGGTAAATAAGCAGATATATTTTTTCAGGACTATTTCTAGTACTCCTTTTAACATGAGCAATTGATCAGGTGCTACGGGTGCAATGAATCTACAGCATTGAATCGGAAGAAATGCTGGGTAGGAGTTGAATCATATGGGAGCTTCTATTGTTTTTCTTGAATTTACAACATTGATTCTCTCCAGCTCGAGAACAATACTGCGCTGCTTTGCTAGATTTTGCAAATTTTGCAAAATTTAGTCATTTAATTGGAAAAGCTTTTCACCAACTTTGTCGGCCAGAAGACCAAGATTTTCTTGTATAAGAGGAATTGTACCATAATTGTTGATAAGCGACTCCAGCTCCGAGTCCTGGAAATCCTTCGAGGACACGTGAAGAATGGAATGTGTGAGGATCTTCGCGTCATTTTGCATGAGTGAGGGGACGCGTCCCACCATTCAGCAAGATCAATCCACAAACGCTGTCCACCCTTGACAATCACATTCGGCACGCGAGGATCTCCGTGGGCCACGCCAGCAAAGTGGAGCTGCCATAGCATGTCAAAAGGGACTCGCGCCTCCTGGCTTGTGCTAGGATACGATATAGGTTTCCCAACAGGAGACAGCAACATCGCGGCGCCATCAGAAATCTTGGTAGCCTCTCCCACGGGTCGAATCGCCAGGCCAGTGTACTGGGCACGCACTAACGCGTCGTATTCTAGAAAAAGACGTCCAACCGAGATCTTCTCCACGATCTTCAAGGCCAACACATCTCCATCTTGACCTACTCGTTTTACCTTGAAAACGCGTCCGAATGCACCACGGCCGAGAAATGTATCACCCTCCACCACCTCAGTGTTTAACGAAGAACAGGCAGCAGTCAAACGCGTCGCCCACGGTGATTTCTTCTTAGTAATAAAGTCACGAAACAACGCTTTCGAGCCCTCCATGACCCTAATAACACGCACCACAACACTTAATGCTTTCGATCAACCATAATGTTGTGCGGTTAAAGAGAACGGCACTTCCTACACCTTTAGAAAAAACGTGCTGTATGTATCACATGACTTGGCCAAATGGAGCCCCTCCCAAATAATTAATGATATTGCTCTCGAAGAGAACGAGGCAATCAAACAGCGCCTTAGTTGCTATCCCAAAACGAAATGAGGTACCCACTCGACTGACATCATCTTTTGGTGCAGGCTCCTTGTGAAACTTCCCACGATAAGTGACAAATCTAAGCGTAAACTGCGGCAACCATTTCTAAAGCTCGCTATTGACGAATACAAGATCGTCGATGCCCAGCGCATTGCTGAAGTAAGGAGTAATGAATGGATCAATATCATTCTCCCTCGAAATGCTGTTGACTCGGGCTTTAACTTCCAGCGACCTAAAGGCATCTGCTCCGACTGTTTCTTCAGCACTCGACACGTATCCTTTGTGCACCAATAGATTTAAATGTTCATAACCCAATTGTGAATCGGTTTTACTCGGCGTCGCGGGTGTACAAAATTTCTCAATTTGTTGACGAATTTCTTCCGCTCGCTTCCGTTCGCGATTTTCTTCCGCCATTTTATTGAACATTCGAGCATTGTCTTCATGGGTCCTCATCAATGCATCGTGTAAGAGAACACTTACGAGTTTCTGATCGCCTCCAGCCCCCTCCGGCACCTTCACCAGCACGTGAATTTGTTCACTGGATGGGAGCTACATGTTGTTTTCCGTGTAGAACCACGTTGCTAAGGTCTTTGAGCCTAGAATCGGTTCTCCGGCCATCAGCGCATTGATGTAGTCGTCGGATCCCCCTTTCACCAGCTTCAGAGCAGTCTGATGTTCGTCTGGGAGTCACTTGAGCCTTTCCTTCATCTCCTTCACGGAAGGGCGGTAAACAGGAACAACCTCTTTGCCGCCCTCCTCTACAATGGGATGCAAGAGCTGCAGGTACTTGGCGTCGCATGTGATCGTCGATGCGTTCTCCTCCTTGATCGCCTTCTTCAACGCGTAGACCGACGTACTCTGGTCTATGTCCACCTTGAATGAGCTTTCCGCCACACCAACAATCGCGCAGAAGAGCTTCACCATATCTCCTGATCGTGGAATGAGAGAAAAGGTGATAAAATGAGACTGCCTCAAACAAAAAGATACTTACGATTCGTAAGTATCTTTTTGAGTGACGTAAGTTACGAACCTAAGTACGAATCGCGATTTAAGCACTCTAAACGAAGCGGCTTTATACTTAAAACTGAAGAAGTTGTCGTCGCTCAAAAATATTGTCTCCATTTATGGGCCCGAAATGACGATACATTGTAGGAGAGTTGTGAGCTCAATATTTTTTTCAATTTTAGATATTCAAGTGTTATTAAAAAGCCCTTGTTTAAAGCAATTGAATAAGTGTACTTTTACAGTTTTTGCGATGGTAGTCTACAATAAATGTCACAGGCTCGATTAAGTGCGACATTCGATTGGGCAAGGGTGTAGCAGTGTTGGCATTTTTACATTTACATTTTTACATTTTTACGTTAAAAGTGTTTTATGCGCTAAATTAAAACATTTTTACAGAGGGATCTTGCATTGTTGACGTAAAAAAGAGCTAAGCCTACTTCAACCGACCGGGACTGCCCCGAGCTTGATTCACATCAAAAGAATCCCCACCGTACGCATTCACACCGCCGCCGCCGATCTACTTCCACCCTCATGGAGCTCCTAACCGGGCTGCAAGATGACGGGTCCAAACGTGGACGCCCACCAGGTCCTCTTGGCATGAACATTTACCGGCTCAATGAGAAATGCAATAAATCGATGTGGTGGACTGTGTGCAAGTATTGTTACGCCGCCCATGTAAGTACAACCATTCATTTTCCTACCCACATCCGTGGGCGAAAGGAAAGTTGGGAGAAGCACTTGGACGAGTGCTTGTACTACGCTCGCGTTACAAGGAAGCCGGCTCAAAGTGATGAAAATCAAGCTGAAACGGATGAACATGCACGCGCCTACAAGCACCAACGTACTTCACCCCCGGCATTCACACCTATTGAAATTATGCTGTTTTGGCGTCTTTTACTGGAATTTCAGGCGGAAGCACTGCTTCCAGACTCTTTCGTGCAGCTTCGTTCCTTCCGACGCCTGCTCGTCTTTTTGAATGCTCGCTGCGGGCTTCCAGGCGCCGTGCCACATCGCCATATCTCAAGTGCTAGTCGAAATTTTGGCTGGAAGCCGGATAATCTTTGAGGTGGTGGAGTGGATAATGGTCTCAATGCACTTGTAACAAGGCCGGCACCTGGATCTTGTGGTTCACACAAGCCCTTCCTCCATCGCTCCTCCAGCTTCTCCATTGTGCATTCAAATACGAGCTTGTTAAGCTTGCGGCTCACAACGTTGTGCTGCTCACAGAGCCACATGGAGAAAGTCGTACGCGACTCCACCCTGTCAACACAACACGCACATTCCAATCAAGGACGACAGAAGAGCAGACCGCACACACGACAATGGTGGCGACGCGGCTT